GTCACTCTGTGGGAGATGCTGAGCGTTTGTCAGGAGCAGCCGTATTCCACCCTCACAGATGAACAAGTCATCGACAATGCTGGCGAGTTCTTCAGAGACCAGGGCAGACAGGTACATCTCAAACGCAAACACACTAAAACGAACTAAAACAGCATCCATCCTTTTTCTTAACTGTTTGTCCCATTCACCATCCCAGCTGGTGAAACCACCTCTTTAACATGTTTTTACTGTTTAGTGATCATATGCTGAAATATCACTTTCGAACTGTGAACTTAATCGTGATTTGAGCAGACCTGGGAAAAAAAAAAAAAGCACAAACAAACTGCATCAAATGACCGATTTCATGTAAGGTTGCAAACACGGCCACCCTGCAGAGGAAGCTGCACGGGCTGGCTGGACTAAGCCTCAGAGGTAGGAGCTCAGACATCTGGAGGGATCTCAGCGTAGATCTGCTCTGCATGTCAAAAGGAGCTACTTGAGGTGGTTCAAGCATCTGGTTAAGAAGCCTCCTGGGCGCCTCCCTTTAGAGGTTTTTCACGAATGCCCAACTGGGAAGAGTCCTTGGGGTAAACCCAGAACCTGCGGGAGAGATTACATATCTTGCCTGACCTGTGGATGCCTTCAGATCTCCCAGGAGAAACTGGAAAGTGAGGCTGGGGAGAAGGTTGCCTGGAATACCCTGCTTAGGATACTGCCATCACAACCTGACTTTGGATAAGTGGATAAGATGATGAAAGGATTGATGGAGGATTTTAAATAAACAAAACATGCGTTTGCTGATGCTACAGCGCTGGCTTTTACAGAACTGAAATTCAGCTTGGATCCTTTTATGTTCCAGTGATTTATTAAATAACGGTGGGATGTTTGTTTATTTTTATTTGTTTCAGAAGTACCGAAAAAAGATTCAGTATCATAGTTGTATGAGAATATTCATCAGATATCCTGTTTGTTCTTCATACAGTTCTTCACTCCCATAAAGACTTGCTTTGATGACCCTCTTCGCCTCACTAACTTCTGCCACTTTGTTCTGAAACGTGACAGAAACCACTCAGTTCAGAAAAGCGGAACCGGGGTTACCCAAGAGAGGGGATGGGTTAAATAGTGCTCACTTTGTGCTTTTGTTGGATTTTTTTATAATATATAAAGTTTCCCCAGTAACCGTTCTGCCTCGGCCTGCACATTTAGAAAAATATAAAGATATGAGTCTGCTGTGTGCTGATTTTTGTTGTTCTATTATTTTTTTCAATATTTGATTAATCATACAAGACTTTATCAGTTCCGTCTCTTTTCTTGAATTCTTCCACATATTTCCACTTTAGCTTATTTAATTTTTGTGTAAAGTGATTTGAAAGTATAAACTCGTCCGATATCTGGCGCCCCCTAGTGGTCGTTCATTGGGCCAAATCTTTTCCTTGAGTTTAAAAGGGTAAAACTGCATGCACTGGTGAAGTTAGACTACACTTTTATGATTCACATAATTCCTAAACAAGTAAAAAAAAAATCCACAGGCTAAAAATATAAATTGCACTCCAGATTAAATCAAAATAAGAGAAAACTCATAACTTTTGCATATGTTTAAAACAGGGGATTTTTGTACCGTGTGGAAACGATATACTATATAACAAAGCAATGCCTCTGATCTCTAATCTCTTCCTGCACCTTTCTCCCTCTCCCTCTCTCCCACAGGTGTATCTGAGCAGGCCGGCCGTGTGTCCTCAGGGTCTCTACGAGCTCATGTTGAGCTGCTGGAACAGAGACTGCAAGGTCCGCCCATCTTTCGCTTACATCCACTCCTTTCTTACGGAGGACGCCATGAACATGGTGTAAAGTAAAGCAGAGGAGCAGAATAAGAAGAAAAGGCTTGTGCGTTCATGCATACTTCCCACAGTGGGAAGACGTGGTGGTGGCTACACATATGGGGCAGACGAAAAGGGAGACCGGGTTGCTCGCTTTTATATTTTGTACTTTTTGGGTGGATGGGGCTGAGAGACCGCTGGTTCGGTTTTAATTCCACATCAGACCCCAAAGACAAAGCTAACTTCCTCTTAACATAGTTTAAGCTACATTTCTCGCGGGTGGTGGTGCTGGTACTGGTGGTGGGTGCGGTCTGCATAGGATCTAATTTCTTCATGGAGGGTTTCTGTGACTGGTGATTATGTGCTGTAGAGTTAAGGAGCTCAGTTACAGGAAACACTCTGTAAACGTAGGAAATCAGGAGCAGTTATGAAGTTTAATGATTGTGTTTTTTTCAGCATCTCCACACAGGATGACAGGTGTGGGTCACATGACCCGCAAAGTTTTAAGAGAATGCCTCATGTCTAGAGAAGAAACACACACAAACACACACACACAGACAGGTATTGTGTCAGTACTTATAGTATGTATAAATTACTGCACACAGACATGGCTGAGCTAGAACCTCAGTGATGGATTTCATTTTTATCTCAGCTCCTTATCCGTACGTAGTGACCCACATCCAGAGTTGTCAGTTTTAGTGGACTAATGTGAAATGATGTGGACCAGACAACAGCAGCCCTATTTCTGCAATGTGATCAAGTCAACACCAACAACGTAGTCAAAAACCCCAAAAATAAATATTTGAACTTCATCTTTGAACCACAGTTTAAAAAGAAAAAACAAAACAGGTTGTATGAACTTCTCAAACCTGAGAAAAAGGTGCAGAAGAGGAGACTCTGCTACACCTTTGCTGCTCCCACAAACTGGAACAGCTTTTCCAAGCAGATGTAACACCAGCCAGGCAGTGGACGGGACTTCAGATGCACCTGCTCGGGTGTTTTGGCTGTGACTCATCAAAAAGGAAAGACTTTTTTTTTTTTTTTAAATTCCAAAAACCAGCTGCACTTTAAACCCTTCACGAATCCCCGGCTGTGATGAAACTCATCTCTGTGATGATTCCTTTTGATGTGGATTCTAATGCTTTTTTTTTTTTCCAAAGTGAGATCGAAGCGAATCACAGAAGCAGGTCAAACATGCTTTTTTTTTTAAATCCTCTCCAACAGAGCGTCGCCAAACCATTAGATGTAAAATATTTTATTTTTTAAATGGAATGGCATCCTCAGTTACTTCAATTTGAAATGTGTGACAACCTTCTGTTCATTTTTTTTTTTTTTAATGCGCTGACATGTTTAGTCGTCCAGTAATCTGTTTCCATTCATCCAAATGTATCACTGTGTCGTTGTTCAGAAGGATATTATGTGTCTTATCCGATATTAAGCGGGTCATTCCATGGAAAGTAATCAGTGCCTCCCACCTGAGCCCATCAGAACCAGCAGATATTTTTGTACAAAAAATGTGGCATGCATGCTTATCCTGTACATACTTCATACTATGAATATTTTCCAAATAATAGGAACTCAAAGTACATAGGCGAGGGTTCAGATGTTACACTTTTTAATTTAAATTATCGTTTTAGCATTTTCGAGACGTGGAAATGCTAAAAGTGCAGGGAATAGTTACAAAACACTGTTAAACCTGAAAAAAATTGATTCCAACTGTCAAAATCTGAGGTAAAAAACTTGGATCGAGTAAAAGGAACATGTTGTCCTGCGCCAAAACAAAACTGCCACAAGCTGAGCAGACAATGAAGCAACAGCAAAGAAAAAAGGAATCTGTTATAACCACATGCTTATATGAGCCTTGAAACATTACCCAGAATGCACTTTTTTTTTTTTCCTCCTGTGAGCAAATCAGATCCAGGCATCCAGGCTGCTTGTCATTATTTCTGTTTCTCTATAGCATACAGATTATGAGTGTAGTTTTGCTTTGGAGCTACGATTGATCCAGCGCCCCTATAGTCAACTTGACTGAGCAGGCAACTCATGTACCAAAGACTCGAGTCCTCACCAGTGTCAATTCCAACCAGCGTTTCATTCTACCTTCACTCACTCACACGTTCTTATTTAATAAATACAAAAAGTTAAACTAAATTAAAAATAAAAACATTTATCTTCTACCACTTGTTCAATTGAGGGTCGATATAGGGTAAAAGTAGGGTATACCCTGGACGGATTGCCAGTCTGTTGCAGGGCTAACAGAGAGACAACCATTCGTGCTCAAATTCGCACCTATTGTCAATTCAGGCTTACCCAAACCCATGCTCGTCTTTGAACTGCCGGAGAAAACCAGAGAGGGGAGAGAACACGCAAACTCTGCACAAGGTTCATCTTAAAATTGGTTATAGAAAAAGTTTGCTAAGTAAATACGAGGTATTGGCTCCAGATTGTGACTGTGGGGGTTTATTAATAACAATTTAATATTTACATCACAACTAAAATGTTTTTCACCCATTTCATCTGTCTCTTTTACTTAAGTGGCTAAAAAAAAATTAGAAAAAAAGAACAAATAAAATAAGCACAGAGTTTTAACCAACTCTTAAAATATTTATGGTATGAATGTAATATTTTGCATGCCTTTGTTAAATAGAATTATTGTACCAAAAATATATTGATTCAGAGGGGTCAGGTGGAAACTTTTTATATATATATAGCTATATAGATTTGGCTGACTTTATATTGAATGACCCAGTCTGACTGCGGTAGAGTCAGTGCATCTACCTAACCGACAGAGCAGCACTGTAAATCAGTCCTGATCAACATCATGAAGTAACAAATTCACCGGTGGTGAATGGTTGTGCCATACGAGTCCTTTTTGATACACTGTAGTTTAACTAAACCCATATTTTTTTATATATACTATACGTACTTAGGCTCTCCTTGTTGTCTGATTTTTGTCCCGTTCTGTCTGAAGCTGAAAAATCACAGTATGTACATATTTTAAGGACAGAATTACAATTTCATTTAATATATAAACTCTGTCCCAACTGGGGGTCTTCTGTGTTTGTGTAGAACGCTTGCTACGTTGATGCTATTGTAATTCACTGTGTTGTCTATTTTTGTAGATGTTTTAATAAAGTTAATCTTTTCAAAATCAGTGTGTGCTTGTTATTAATTACATCTGTCAAAAAAAAATCAAAAGTTTCATCGATTGAAATATATTTTATTATAAGTCTAACATAGATTATGTTTAATATTTGATACAAGCAGCCAACTTTCACACTATATCAACGAAGGCTGAAAATGCAACATTAAAAAAAAAGAAGAAGAAGAAAGTATTAGTCACTAGGAAGCACCAAAGGAGACAGGCGGATTCTGGCTTTCGTCCTTTTTTAAAAGTGACAAACTGGGCTAAGACCAGTTTGATATGAGGAACTGTTCCCTGATGAGTTTAACTAGTCTTAAACTGATGCCTGAGGAGTTTAACCAGGCACTTGGTTGCAAAATGCGGAGTGATTCTTAAAAAAAACAAAAAACAAAAAAACAACTAGGAAAAAAAATTTCACTACTTTAACGCAGGAAAAAGACAAGGCGACTAAACTCAAGGCAGCATGCATAACAAAGCAGTAGTACTTCGTGATGGTCCTTCTTTACTCACGACAGCTGTATAAAAAGGCAGTTACAGTAAAGAAGAAAACAAAAGGTTCAACATACTTTCATTGGCTTTAACAGGAAACCTAACCAAACCATAAATTGTTCCAACCACCCACTTCCTCCCTCCTCCTTTCAAGACACAAAGAAACTCCTCCCACTTGCAGTTCCAGCCAATAACATTGTTGCCAACAATGTAATCCATTATTACAAAGAGTCTCACGTATGTCTTTTTGCAATGCACTAGTAGACAAAGAAGAGACATTCAATCTTTTGTGATTAGTACATAAAAATATTAACAACATTTCAACACACAAAACTCTGAGGTGATTTGATAAACGCTCTCAGCAAGATTTCAGTCAGTGGTCTAAATGTAGAATGTACATTGCACTAACGTTTGTTTTTTAGGGTCTGACTTTGTCAGAACCTCCTTCTCTCGTGCTCAGAGCCTCCAGGTGAATGAACAGATTTAATAAAGGGGTGTGTAGCAGTGGCAGAAGTGTAGCAGCATAATCAGTTGGGCTCCCTGAAAGTGTATGTTTTGCATTATTTGATTAATTGGAAGGCACAGAAAGAAAATAGAATAAGGCTATAAGCTTTTCCTACATTCTCAGATTAAAAAGTAAAAAAAACAAACAAACATAATAGTTCATTGACCTAGTCCCTAAAAACTGGGCTTCTACGTATTAGCTGAGGCTTTTGTCAGCCAAAGACAGAAGTTGTGCAGTCGCTGTATCATGTGAGGCTGGTTGCAATGTGACCTGCAGCATGAAGCACAGCAGCACAGCTCAGGGACATGAAAAGAAAACCACACAACAGGGGAAGAAAAACCTAGCCTTGTTTAGACTGGGGAAAGGACATGAGTGAAAAGCATGCATTCACACAGACAATGAGAAAGGTTTACAGTGTTTACAAGTCAGTACAGTCGTTACAGGTACGAGGAGATGTGGAGCTCTTTGTCTAAATATTGTTGACACCTCTCCTGATTACTCTTCTCAATGCGCCCGGGTGGTTTTCCCTGCAGCCTGCGAGGTCAAAAACACAAATACGAATGAAATAACACGTGTACTTGTTTTGAAGTCTGTTACAAAGCCTATTTGCCTTTCATGCAAACTGCACCTGGGAGATGTCGACTCCAGTGAGTTTCTCTACAGCATTTGGCAGCTTGGTCATGATGTCCAACACTTCTCCAGCAAGTTTGGAGGCTCCTACATCTGCGCCACCGCTGGACACCATGGTAATCTTCTGTGTCGCTGACAGTGGCTTGCTGATTTCCTCTGCCATCTGCAGAACAAGAAAGATCAGAATTGGTATGCTTGCACCTTCAAAGTGTGCCATCCGTGAGCTAAGAAGCATGCGAGTCAGCTAATTCTTCTGAAAACTGAGCAGAGAATCACAATTTCAAAGAAATCTCAAAGGTTTAAAGCAACAATGTATCAAGCTTTGGGATATAAAGGTATATAATTAATATACCTTTTATGAATAACAGTTGAGTTGTGATTACTGAAATATGGTTAAAAAATATTTTAAAATCTTAAAGAGGCCTTGGAGTTGGAAAATGTAAAAAAAAAAGAAAAGGGGAAAAAAAACTTTTTATGCAAAGAGAAGTAAAATAAAATCAACATTAAGGACTAGCGCTGATGAAAATGGGTTGAAAGGCTAATATAAAAACCAATATTCATGATATTTTCATCCATTAGAGTCAAACTGACCAATGGCAGTTTCTCCAGCAGCATGTCCACCATGGCTCCTTCTTTGTACTGCTTGAAGGCCTCTGCCTTCTTGTTCATCTGCTCGGCCTCAGCACGGCCCTTAGCCTCCACGGCAAAAGCCTCTGCCTCACCCTTTATCTGCATGACAACACACAGAGCAGAAAAGAGTGACGATGGCAGTAGTCACATGAAGCAGGAGAGAAAGGAATGACACATTATATGATGCAAAGTCACAGGAAAGGTGACGAGAAAATTAACAGTAGGAAAAAACTGTGACAGAAAACGGGCGGTTCTCACTCTGATGGACTCTGCCTCAGCCTCAGCTTCCATGATGAGCTGCAGACTGCAGTAGAAAGGAAAAAAAAGAATGAATTTTTTTGTTGTTCAGTTCAAACTATACAGAAGCAATATTATGATTTAGTGCTCACCGCTGGGCCTCAGCCAACTTCTCCAGTCGGTATTTCTCAGCTTCTGCAGGTTTCTTAACCTTGGCCTCCAGCTCCTTCTCCTTGCGTGTGATCTCCTGCTCCTGCAGAGTAATCTGCTGCGTACGCTCCACCACTTGAATCTGCATCTTCTCCTCTTCGATGCGCTGCTTGGTCTTGGCCACCTGAAATGGAAATTCCAACAATTCTCAGCTTTCCATCAATAAAAACACAACATTTTGGACTTGGCCAGGCATTATGATGAGCGTACCTGAAGCTGATAGGCCATTTCTGACTCTGCCTTCTTGGCATTGACCTCAATGTCATAAGCCGCTTTCTTCAGCTCATAGTCTCGCTGGGCTTTCGCCATTTCAATCTCATTCTTGTACTGAGCAGACACCTTCTCCTGCATTGCGTGTGCCTCCTGAAAATGAACAGTACAGGAGAGAAAGACAAATTTGGTACTGCTCATCGGCATTATCTTGTCAGTACATGTCATTGTGCCGTCTTTCTCCCCTCTCCCCAACTGGTCCTTGCAGATGGCCGCTCCCTGAGCTTAGTTCTATTGGAGGTTTCTTCCTGTTAAAAGGGAGTTTTTCCTTCCCACTATCACCAAAGCGCTTGCTCATAGGGGGTCATATGATTGTTGGGATTTTCTCTGTTTTCTTTGTATAATTGTAGGGTTGTCACTTTACAATATAAAGTGCCTTGAGGAAACTATTGTTGTGTTGTTGTGGCCCAATCTAGATAAAACTGAATTGAAATGAACTGAACTGAACAGGCAGAATGACATTGACGATTATTTACCTTAATGACAGCATCTCGTTTGTATTGAGCCTCTCCAATCCTGGCATCCTTCTGCACCTGAGCAGTTCTGGCTTTACCCAGCGAGTGGAGGTAGTCCTGTAGAAGAGACAGAAAGGAGAGAAAGTGACAACCGACTACCAGAGAGCCTTATTCAGGCATTGAAAAGCAAAGTAGTACATCAGACAAACGAGTAATGTCGTTACCACAGAAGCACTTAGGCCTCATTTACGTCTACTGGGATGGCTCCAGGCTGAGAGTCGGGTAAGTCAATATCAATCACTTAAGAGCATTACAGTAACAGAGGAAATCATCAAAGACTAAACGCTTTGAAAACCTACATATTTCTAATGAATTTATCACAAGTCCATCAGCATTTGGCTTTTTTGGGGAGGCAATTTTTTGCATGAATTTGCTTATTTTTAGTGGTCTGTCTATCACTCAACGATACATCGTTTCCTGTTGCACCAAATATAATGCTCTGACAGAATATTCAAGATCTCATGGTAGATAAGCTGTCTGTTGACCCCAACACACGTTACAGGTTTTCCACGCAAAGCTTGCTTTATTTCAGCTTGCCATATTTAAAACAAAATCCTATTTTTCCTATACATGCACATTCAATCACCCACTGAGGAACTGACAATGGCCAGCTGGAAAGGTTTAGCATATCCCCCATGCCCTTCCAGCGTATTTTGTAATGCTTTTACAGTCAGAGTCTTGTCACCAGTGTTGGAAGAAGAAGTACTCAAACAGACTTGGCATACCTGATCGTCATGAACATCTTTCAGCGTGTAGCTGACGACACCAATCCCCATGTTGACCAGGTCAGAGGAGGCTACTTTAAAGACCTGCTCAGAAAACTTCTTACGATCCTGGTAGATCTCCTGCACACACACATAAAGATTTGCACACGTCAAGTTACATACTGTAAAAAAAAAAAAAAAAAAAAAAAAGGCATGCCCTGTGCTAGTACTGAGTAATAAACATTTTGTGCATAAAAGTTCTGCAAAATGCATTTTAGGGCCTCAATGAACCAACCTCTACAGTCAGGTGGGCAATGATGGCTCTCTGGTGTCCCTCTAGTGTCTCCAATGCAATCTGAGCGATCTCAGCCTCAGACTTTCCCATGAACATCTGACAGGCAGCTGCCAACATCTCCTTGTTCTGGCCCTGGATCTTCACCTGGGGAAAAAAAAAAACACAGGTTAATGTGATCTCATTAAGACACTGCTATGAATCCTCCATAATGCTTCCTGTGTGGCCCGTGCTACAGACAGATGTTTATTTCACCATGAAGAAAATAGTTTATAACCTTTATAACCTAAGACCCAGCAAATCATTCTTGTCTTCTGTGGAGTTCATGTGACATGTCAAGCATAAACAATGCAGTCCTACAAATTTATGAGTCCTACTGTACTGTGAAAAGGAAATCCTTTCTAGTGATGCCACGGACAACATGGCCTGTTCTACAGCTTCCACATTTTATGGCAGTAGGTGAGGATGTGATACATGTTTTGCAGATATTGTTTTTCAATTGCTATGGATGAAATTGTTTCTTCAATATGAGATTCTTGAGTTTAATTTACCAGGATTTCAAAAAAAAAAGTACTGTAATTTCAACCATTTCAAAATAAACTTTTAATCAGTGAGACTTAAAAATGTGTTTTCAACCCATGCTGATACTTCAGGAAGCAGAGGGCTGAGTGTGGCAGAGAGGATTCTACTCAGAATTGTAGAAGTGGAGTCAGACTTTTTGCTTTCAGAGCATGAGGCAGAGGAAGGAAAAATATTAGAGCAGGAAGTTGAGAGCTCAGGAGGACATACCAGCTTTTCTGGAGTCTGAACACACACGCGCGCACACAAACACACACACCTTTTATATCTTAGTGAGGACATCTGATTGACATAATACTTTCCCTTGCTGCTTACCCTAACCATCAAAAATAAATGCCTAACTCATACAACTCATACCCCTAGCCTAAACCTAACCATGAGCTAATTGTAACCCTGACACAAAAAACACATTTTCAGCCTCAAAAACTTCCTTCCAAACTTGTGGGGACGGGCATTTTGTCCCCATAAGTGACACACACGCACGCACGCATGCACGCACACACACACACACACACACACACACACACACACACACACACACACACACACACACACACACACACACACACACACACACACACAATCAGCTAAAAGTTCTTAAACTAGTTACTCTGTTGATTTAAATAACTATTAATATACTGCTAAAAGTGAATTAAACTGTACCTCGCCTTGTACCTTTCTTTATTAATTCTGTTTTAATCATAATGAGATTCACTTGAACTGTGAGAGTTGATTTTAAAGGCAGTTTTGTGCCATGTGACATCTAATTATTCCCAATCTGTTGTAACTTCAAATTCTGAAAAAAAGTTCTCAAACCATACCTGCGCAATGCCGGTGACAGAGATAGGGACACCATGGCGGGTGTAGACTTTGTCACTCTTCACATTTAGAGTCAGGGTGTTGAGTGTGATCCTGATTAGACCAAAAACAAACAAACAAAAAAAGACCAAAAGGAAGGGTGGAACTGATGAGATTCAAAACGTGAGAGCAAGGGTAACAGTAACATTGGAGAAACTAAGACTGCTTCCCTGATAATGGCAAGCTTCCCTATTTGCGGTCTCTGTCTTTATTTCACACTACGATGAACTGCACAGCAATGTTGTAGCTATAAAAACTACACAAGGGAAATTAAAATGAAAATGGGAATGACCTCTGGATTTGTTGAATACACGGCAAGACAAACACTCTTCCTCCAGCAATCATTAGAGGTGGAGAACGGCCGCAGCCTGACAAAAGAGGGGAAAACAAACATTAACAAATCCATCCAATAAGAGTCATTCATTCAGGAACTGATTCAAGAGAGCACAGCTGAACTTGCAACCTTTCATGACAGTGCGACTTATGCAATTCATCCACAACAGCTTGCGCCATTGGAAAATTCCTAGCTTACTCTAAACTGTCAGCAAGTCTTGGCCTTATCACAAGACACATGTGACACTTGTACACAACACTTCACTCTAACAATCCAATTCCAGGATTACTGTCTTTTGTTTATTACACTGATCTTCTGAGCTGCAAGTTTCTAAACAACAATAAAGCTTGCAGATGCTATGGTGAGAATATTCTCATGTGTTGTTCACAGAAACAATAATTAATCCATTACCAGACACCACCATCGCTTCATTGGGTCCACATGTGTAAAACATCTTGAATCCTAAATTTGAGACACACACAAAAACTTGTGAGGAAAAAAAACCCCAATGGACTTGATTTGCCCTGTAAAAATGTTTAAAGTAGAAAATAAATGTATGACATGTATAAAGAGACAGGTGGATGTATCCACCAGTACAACACACAAAATATAGATTAAATCATTTTTTATTACAGCGTCTCATTGCTAATTTAAAGGCAATGAGTCCTATGCTGCCAACTATATTTTATTCATGTCGGTTTAAACCATTTAAACCTAATTAGGTTTCCATGTTTTTCCCAGCGACCCTCGGGGCTCCTCCCACTCCCGCCAGCCCTAATCTTCACACGGAACTCGGACTTTCAATGTAATAGCTGGAGCAACCAAAAAGCACATGAAGCACAAAAAAGTACCGATAATGGCAAACAAACACGGGTGTTGGATGTAAAATTAAAAACTTTAAAGAAAGCGACCTAACCTGCGTATTAAAATTCGCTATCTCGCTATTTAATCGAGTCTGGGTCGATAACGTGGGGGTTTAAAAAAACTGCCCAGTGTTTACGCTACAGCACCGCGATTTAACACGTTAAAACGAGCACTCCGGTTAACTTACCGTTATCCGGTCAGGTCAAAAGGAAACCTCCTTTTTTATATAAAAATAATGATAATAGTAAAATAAAGTCGGTTTTACTGTTGCGACGGTGAGAGCGTTGCTGCCCGTACACTGCAATCACACTGCAAAAAATGTCTGATGAGTGGGAAGTGCTCTGCGACCACGCCCATCCTCACGCTGACAGTGACGTAAGTGTGTCTGTTGTCATCTGGTGGCTTAGAGCGACAACTGCACCTCCACCATATCTATTTATCTATCTAGCAAAGAATTTATGATATCATGATACAAGGTTATAATAGTTAACTTAAAGTAAAAACTAAAACTAGAACTAAAGAAACAACTTTTGAAAAATCTACAAACACAGAATAAATATTCTTAGTTTTAGTATTTGTAATTTTGGTTAAAAACATTACAACTTGCCTGATGAGGCAATGATGAACATGTTTATTCAGACATTGGATGTCTACATGCTGGTGAGTCACCCACCTTTAAAAAGTTGTTTTTTCACAGTAATACCTGTGATGACCAGTTTCTCTTTATTTTCAGGACTATTTACATTCTAGATTTTCACTGAATGCATCAAAACTATGAATGAATACATATGGAATTATGTAGTAAACAAAAAGTGTGAAATAACTCAAAACATGTTTTATATTTTAGATCTTCAAAATAGCCACCCTTTGCTTTGAATGCTGCTTTGCACACTCTTGGCATTCTCTCGATGAGCTTCATGAGGTTGTCACCTGAAATGGTTTTCCAACAGTCTTGAAGGAGTTCCTAGAGATGCTGAGCACTTTTCGGCCTTTTTGCCTTCACTTCATCCCAAACCATCTCGAATGGATTTACGTGGATTTTAGTGACTGTAGAGGCCAGACCATCTGGCGCAGCACTCCATCACTCTTCTTCTTGGTCTTACACAGCCTGAAACTATTTTAAAGATGATAAAAATTAAAACAAGTTAATAGTCCAGCTAGTGTTTCTCATTTGCCTTGATAAGTTATCAAATACACCTTAATTTTTGTATACAATATAATATACGGAGAGCATCATGTGAGGAATAACCTGCAAAAACCCATAACTTGTTCATAACCTTTTGTTTGTCTCTTAAATGTAAATATTAACCACCATGAATATCCCATGGCTTTCAAAATGGCAAATACTTTTGCCACTACTTATAAACATACAGTCTATGGTTTAAAAAGAAGATGACGAATTCTTAGCCATGTAATCTGTGTAACAGGCAATACTGTGTATTCTGAATTCAGACTATTCCTACAAGAGCAGCTGGCATGTGCAAGCTGTTGCCCCTGTAAATGTTTATCTAAGCACATTTGCACTTGTTGATAAATTGTGTGTCTGTTAATCTCATTACTTCCACTAGTGGGCAGTGTTTACCATTGCTTGAATTAAGATGTGACAAAATACCCAATCCTAAATTTTCAAATACCAACAAAGGCATCTGTTAAGGAGACTCTATATTGATGCATTTTATAAAATGTGGGCTTCAGAGGTGTTTCCAGAGGCAGGAATATATGGGTGGCACTGTCACACCTGAAATATGATTGGACAAGAGTACTGTTAGGGTCAAAGTTGAAATTGAGTGACAGTATAAATGTGACTAGACCAACTTATTAACTTTATTCATGGATTTTACTGAAGTACAGTTTTAAAGTACTTTTACTGCATATAAGCATCGGTGCTTTTTACTTCTGCTCTGTTATAGTTTGGATAAAAATGTTGTACTTTGTAGACAGGGTAACACTATAATATGGCCTTTGACTAAGGGCTTAATTGTACTCTAATTAAATGGAAATTCAATGTATTTTATGTAATTATATTTACCCACAAATCCTTAAAGGTAGGCACACTAGTAGAAGTGCTTAACGAGTCAGGTTTTAGAGCAAACAAAGAAATAATGACACTGTAACTAAATATAAGTAGTCTCTAAGTAAATTAAAGTAATGTGTTGGTAAATGTAAGTAGTCTGTAAGTAATTTTAAGTAGTGCCTAAATTCTGGGTATTTTACAGAAAATGAAACACAGATTATACTGTAATTGATAATGACTACCGCATAAGCAATTTTAAGTACTACTTTCTTGATAATTTTGTGGAAGCACAAAAAATATTTCCCCGTCTTATATTCTATGTACACTGTACTTTTTCAGGCCACAGGCCATATTATGGAGTGGCTCCATCATTATAATGTCACATAAACCTGCAAACTTTGATGGTATTTCTTTTTTTTTTTTAGTCCTTATCAGATTATTATTGCTAAAGTAAAAGGGCAATTTAATAATAGAAGATCTGTCAGGTACATAATGGATATTAAATAAAGAGGTAAAACAATGAGATGTTAAGATGTAAAACGGCAAAGTTAAACTACTCCATATTGCAGCTCACACCCCAAAAACATATTTAAAATGTGAGATCAGGAAATATTAATATTACAGTCAAATTGCTTGCTACTTAAAATTACATATGCAGGATGTACATTTATTGTTTTGTTTTTGTTTCCTGTAAAAACCTGATTTGTTACCCCCTTATTCTAGTGTGCCGACCCTTAAGTATTGGTAGGTAAATATATTTACATTGTAAATTCAAATAAAATACATATTAAACATAATAAGATTTTATGTAATTACAGCAGAATTTTGCTCTTAGTCATAGGCTGTATTATAAAATGCTACTATACTGCATACATTTATGTTAAAGTTTTAGTTACTTATTAGTTTGCAGCTTTTAAAATATATATTTTGCCATTGGGGCATAATTATGGACAAACTACCCAGCCTCGTGACAATATAATGGGGATCTACATATTAATAAATCAGTAATGATGAATGATCTGATTAGAAAATGTATATGATTCTGAAAGGGGGCATTGTGCATGAGTACTTTTAGTCATTGTTTTGTACTATTATGTAAGCAGAATTATTACTTTTAGCCAAGTAAGAGACCTAAATACTTGTTTGATCACTTTGTGATACAGATATTAAATTAAAAAACACATTTTTCAGGCTCTTGTGCAGTGCAACTTTTCCTATAATATCTTCATGAAATATCTTTCCTGTAAGTGTCCAAGCAGTCAAAGGATGTACAGGCACAGGTATAATTTTCAAAATATGTGTTTTAATATACCCCCAAAAGACAAAAATAATCTCAAAAACACATAATAAAGAAAATAAGTTACTCTGAGAAAGAGGTACATCCATGAAACAGACATCTACTCAAAGCTACTGCTTAACAACGGAGCGAAAGTTTGTGGTGTCCCGGGATTCCCATGTGCTTGTTTGCCATTCACCTAGGGACCATTTTTGATCCGAGGACACCACAAGGGGTATTACATTCAAAGGCAGACACCACAATAACTACATTTAATATAAAGAAACCATGCGGTCACAACAGGCAGTTCACTCCCTTTGATTAGTCTCTGTATTTAATCCAGCTCCACCCTCAGCCTCCTCTTTTACTCAAACAAAGAAGGATGAAAGCAGCCTGCAGGTAACTCAAAAAATAGAGAAAAATAATACAATTTATTATGTATATAGTGGTTGCTGGTACAGTGTTCAGTGCAATCAGTGTAGTGTCATAATGTGTAATAAGAATAGATTAAGCAAATGAATCAACTCACTTTTGGTATTACAACTTTAACGACTACTTAATTAACTTAAATGTTAGAATGTAAGATATAAGGTTTTACACTCCCACCTCAGGAGTATCTCCACATGCAGTCTGAACAAATATTACCACATTTTTTCAAGTGTGTGGTTGTTGGTACGACCATCACACATCTATTTTCTTAATTGCTTGTGCAAGTCAGGGATGCATGGGGCTGTAGAATATTCCAGCTGCAGGGTGAATGGACACCCTACACTGTAAAAACATATATTTTAGCATTTTTACAGATTCATTGCTGGGCTAAGTAACTATTAATCTAAAGTGAAGCTAAATTTGATTGCAGATGCATTCACAGCTAGTAACAATTATGCTTAGTCATTTACCCAAATGTGCTGAAAGTGTCCTTTCTGTCTTGAACAAGGAAGAAAATAAAGAATAGAACCAATGCAATGGAGTAAAAATATCAATAAAGTGTGCCATTTTCTAAAGATCTGTCAAGACTATTTCATAGCCTATACACATTATCATTCTTTAGAAACAGTGTTTAGTTTATTTTCTGCAATCCATTGCCAAACATATATAGATTTGCTCCTGTTTTCCTGAGATCATCTGCTGAGAGCTTGGATCAGAGGCCTGGCACACACCCCTCCTACACAATAATTCCTACCCTTGCATTTTCACATTGTCTTGTGGTGGCTAATAAGTACAGCAATGCACACATATGTAAACTATATGTAAGGTATTGCAGCTCGTTTGAACATGAAGCTAGAGAAAGGCTTCAACATGCTGTTGTTTCAGCAGCTAGTCCTGATGAACCGGCTGACCCCATCTTGTCCCCACTTCATCTGTTTCCTCTGCAGAAGCAGATACAGTAATGGGTTGTCGTCATCCTCTGGTAGCTAAAACAACTGTAATGTATCTTTCTGGCATTTTTTTCCAGACACCAGCTGGTAACATTCTGGTCAATCCATATATCTAATTTCCACTCCCAGATCTGCAGCTGTGAGGCTCCTCCTCCTCCGTGCTACTCCGCTCAGCCAATCCCCGTCTGCGGCAGCGGTGTCTGGCCACGCCCAACCCTAGCCTTAGCTCTGGAAACGCTCCAGCGATATAAATCCATTGTCCGGCACATTCACACCAGTCTGCGGTCGGCTCCTCGTGCTCACTAAACAGCTGCCTTTTTTTGCTACCCATTGTAAAACTTTTGCATCCATAATGAGGGAAATCGTGCACATCCAGGCCGGCCAGTGCGGTAACCAGATTGGTGCCAAGGTAAGAAAATATAATGCAAAGAATGTATGTTCTTAAAAGAAATAGAATAAATTCTGTGTTTTTCTGTCACAATTCACGTTTAATAATCAGGACATAGTTTAATCATTCGGCTTGTCTGGAAAAGAATTCTCAGTGAAGACAAAGGATACCCTTTTCTTTTCATGCACCATATATCTTTTAGCATATAAATATAACTGTAAATGTCAAGTGATCACTTTTGTGTGCGTCTATTTTTTTTTTTTACTAAATATTGTGCACTGCGGTAACTGGTGGGTGGG